AGGTAAACGTACGTATTAATTGTTTTTATTCTATTCTTCTCTCTCTCTCTCTCTCTCTCTCTCTTTTTAACCACTCCTCTCTGATCGATTGGAAAATTGTGGACGATCGTTTAAAAAAATTCGTTTCAATAAAATATTGTTGCTTAAGGTAGGTGAAATTATGGCGAAGTATTTCGAACTTCGATTTCAATTTAATTACAATTACCAATCCTCGAACGAATCTTATCGAATAAATCGGCAAAATCGTAAGATAACGATTCTCTAAAGGAAATCTCTCGCTTACCCTCAAACATACGACGAGAAATATTAAGAAAGAAAAAGAGAGGAATCGTGACAATACGAGGTATTTGTGCCCTACTATGAGGGATTTAATCCATCCAGATAGGTTTAATGTTCGTTTCAATAAAACATGTCATCTAATTTACAATTTAAATTATAATTTCTTTCGAATCGGCAAAATCGTAAGATAACGATTCTCTACCCTCGAACAACAAGAACCATTCAGACAGGCTTCTCCATCGATTGGAACGAGAAATTGTGGATGATCGTTTAGGATTTTCGTTTGCTTGTTCGTTTCAATAAAATATGTCATCCAATCTAAATTGCAATCCTCGAACGAATCTCTTCGAATAAATATAAAATCTTACGATTTAACCCTATTACAATTCTCTAAACGAAATCTCTCTCTCTCTCTCAACGCTTACCCTCAAACGCGCGACGAGAACCATCGAACAAAAAAAAAAAGGACGAATCGTGACAGTAGGAGGTACCTGTGCCCTACTGCGCGCGGGACTTAAGGGTTAATCCAGACAGGGATTTCGAAGCAAATCAAGGGCGGCCCTCGAGAGGAGGAGGAGGAGGAGGAGGACAAAGCGTTTTAAAGGCGCACGTAGTCGCGTCGACGGGGCACGTGCGAGCTTTCCGCGTCTGGATACCCCGGGCCAGAAGACGATATTAATCCCCCTCCTCCCTCCTATTGTTTTTCCCTCGACACGGAGAGACAAAGCCGCGAACCCTCCTCCGAATATGGAGGGAGAAAGGAGAAAGGAGGGAGGACGTGTGCACAAGTCACACCGGGCCCTTTCTTGCGACCGCGTTTCTCCGACTGCGCTTAATAAATTGGATCAAGCAAGGAGTCTCGATGAGTTTTGCGCGAGTTGGGTGGAGGATCACGGGGTCTAATCTAGGATCTTGAGTGGATTTCAGTTTTGCCCACCGATAAATTTATTTTAACCAACCAACGAGCTTCCATTCTTCTTCCATTCTCGTCCTCTCTTCTCGTTCTTCTTCTTGAATCGTTCCCTACTTTTTGGACGATGAGTTAAGGAATGAGTTGAGATTTGGATAGGGAAAATCTGATTTCTAAATTTTTCTTTTTTTACATGAAAGACGTCTACATCCAGGGCTTCGTGGATTCAAGAGTGGATTTCAATTTTGACTATAGATAAATTTATCTTAATCAACCAACGAGCTTCCATTCTTCTTCCATTCTCTTCTCTCGTCCTCTCTTCTCGTTCTTCTTCTTGAATTGTTCTCTATTTTTTGGACGATGAGTTGAGATTTGGATGGATAAATCCAGTTTCTAAATTTTATTTTATTAACATAAAGATGTCTACATCCATTTATCTTAACTAACGAGTTTCGATTCTTCTTCCATTCTCTGCACTCGTTCTTCTTCTTAAATTGTTCTCTATTTTTTGGACGATGAGTTGAGATTCGGATGGATAAAACCAGTTTCTAAATTTTATTTTATTAACCAATCAACGAGCTTCGATTCTTTTTTCATTCTCTGCTCGTTCTCTTCTTGTTTTTAAATTGTTCCCTATTTTTTGGACGATGAATTGAGATTTGGATGGAAATTTTTCTTTTTTAACGAAAAGAAAGATGTCTGGATCGAGGGCTTCGTGTCTTGAGCTTAATCTAAGAATCGATTTCCAATCAACGAGTTTCTTCTTCCTATTTCTGCTCTCTCATTATTCTTCTCTCCTCTCGTTCCTTTTCTTAAATTGTTCTCTATTTTTTCGCCGACGAGTTAAAGAACGAATCGTTCGAGATTTGGATGGGCAAATCTAATGAAAGATGTCTGGATTAAGGGTTTCGTGTCTTGAATCTAATCTAAAAATCGATTTCCAACCAACGGCAAATCTTTTCCCATTTCTCCTCCCTCTTCTCATCTTTTTTCTTAAATTTTTCGATTTTCTAGTGGACGATAGACGGTCGTGATTAAACACAAATTCGAAACTTAGAATTATGGAAAAAGCTAATTTTATTTTCTTCGATTCGTTCTTTTTCAATCTGTTGCCAAGATAAGAATCCAGGAAAGGACGTGCATATATCGTTTCATAACATCCCAAGCGACGAAGTATTCATTCTTCGAAGAATTTATCATCGATACTTATTCAAGTACTTACTTTGAGAAACTCTTCGTTTCGGAAACAATGATTCTGAAATAGAATTTCCTAGCACGTGGAAATCCGCGCGTAAAAAATACACGGGGAAATTGGCATTACCGTTTAATAAACGAATCCCGATGATTACGGTGAAGCGTATCTGACAGAGAGGGATGGTGAGGGGGGGAGGGGAGAGGCGAGGGGGTGACAGACAATTTTCCGCGACGAGAAGGCTGTTATTAAACGCGAGGACAGGGCATCGATCGGCGGGAAATTCAATTGCAAAGTCATACATACTGCACGCGAAAATCCTCGTGAACGATCCCATTAATTTTGCAGAGGCGGCAGACTATTGCCAATGACACACGATGCGAGTTTGCTTGCACGGTTATAATTGTCCCGTCGTGGTAGTTATGAAACTTGGTTCCCGTTCTGGATGACTTGTTGCAAACAGGGCAGACGTGACGACGCGATTCAACCGCTGGATTTTCCCTTCCCGGAATTTTAGATTTCAAACAGAATTCGGCGAAAAACGAACCTCGCCGAAATTCTCATCCTCGAGGAGATTGAATTTCAGAGAGCGAGATTCCTCAACAGATTCCCACGTTTTTCGTTAAAATTCTCTTCTTTTTCTTACAAATTTTCAACGAGATATAAATACTCGAGTTGTAAATTAGTTGTAGAATCTATTTTCTGGAAAGTAAAATCGAAACAATATTAATTTAATCAGATATATATGCGTTCGCCATTCTACGAAATTGAGAAATAAATTACCTCGAGATTATTTTAATAATTTTAATCCATTGTCCTCTCGACTCCATTTAAGTCAAAAAAATTCGAAGAACGAAGAGCGAGCCGTCTCGGTTAGACGACGTACGAAACGAAACCGATATAATCACGATGAAAATCCGAAATTGGACCTTGCGATCTTGGATCATCGATGCATCCTGTTCGGCGTGCAGTCGATACTCGCGAGGGCAGCACCCGTCGTGTTCGAGCGAGCCGCCATGAATTTTTATGAGCTTAGGAAATTAATTTGTGTTTTTCGCTAAGCCCCGGCTTAGCGCCGCGGTAATTAATTGCGCTGATTGCCCTGCATCATTGATAAGCGGTTCTCTGGCTTTCGTAACCGTTTATCCCCCTCTCCTTCTCTTTCTATCCGTGTCCATCCATCCGTCCATCTCCTCCCCCCTCCCCCTCTTTCTCTCTTTCGCTTCGATTTCAAACCCGTTGTTTCTCCGTTTTGCTCTCTCGTGGAGGATGGATGAGTTGCACGCCATCTCTCGCCTCTCCTCATCCTCGCTTCCCCCCCCCTTTTGTCTGCGCGTGCTTCGACCGCCCCCCTCCTCTCCCCCCCCCCATTTTTCCGATTTCCAACGGACGAGCCTGGGTGCGTGCTCCTCGTAATTGGCCCGCGAACGAGCCATTCCGCGTTAAATCATGCACCGGGGTGGTGTAGGGTGGTAGTTTTGAATTTTTGTCAAACCTGCGGTGGCGCATCCCGATGGAATGATCGATTGGGGAAAGGTGTGTGTGTGTGTGTGTGTGTGAGAGAGAGTTTAGTTTTTTTTTTTTTTCTTTTAGAGATTTGTGTAACGTTTTGATCTGACTGATCGACGGTTGGCACTGTTTTGCGCTTATGTTGACACTTTTCGGATTTTTTTTAGAAGGAAAATTGTTTTTTCTTGTAAATTAAAATCGTCGATGCGACAGGAAGGCGAGGAAAATATGTCTTAATCTTGAAAACGATTCCTTTTTTGAAGAAATTGAGATTACGTTTTTTTTTTTTTTTATTATTATCTTTTAACTATTTATCTTTCGTGAGAAATGGGAATGTAAATGAAAACGCGAGTACAAGGAGAGACCTCTCTGTAGAAGAAGTTCGAAGAAGGCAAATGTATTAATCGCAGCGTCCGTTTCGATTGCAGATACCAGTTACTCGGCTTATCATCCGGCTTTGCACGGAGTCGGGGAGGATTCGTTCGTGAGGCGAAAGCAAAGGAGGAACAGAACCACGTTCACTCTTCAGCAACTGGAAGAATTGGAGTCAGCGTTTGCGCAGACACATTATCCGGATGTCTTCACGAGGGAGGATCTCGCGATGAAGATTAACCTCACCGAGGCCAGGGTTCAGGTTGGTACGAATTGAAAGAAGAATCGAGAAAAAATTGAAAACTTTCTTACAAAAGAAAGTTACAAAAGTTTCGTATTCGTGCACGAAAAGAAATTAAATTTTTACAGATTATTATATATTAAACTAGCGATAATAATGAAATATACAGAATACGTATATGTGGATCATAGATTGTTACGAATAAAACAACTTCATCGACGAATATGCAGGGAAAATCCTTAACGATTTCGAGTGGTACACGTTTTTTCCGACGAAATCAATTTTAAACAGCATCAAATGAATAAATGGCACAGAGAGGAGGGAAATAAAATAAATCGGAAATGTCGCTTAACGAGAGGAGTTGTAATCAATTAACTTTTAAATTATCAAAATATACAATAATATGCTAATGCGCGAACGCACTTTAATAAATGTGTCCAATTTCCCAGTTTCGCGTTTCGAAAATTATTTAATAATTCGTATAGTAATTTTCAACATACTTTTCCCATTCCCCCCGCTCCCCCCCCCTCCTCCTCCTCTTTTTTTTATCGAAAAAGACTACCCGAAATAATATAATTTCTCTCGCGAAATAAAAATATATCTATATATAAAATGCTGAATCAAATTTCAATATTCGTTTTCTACTGCCATTAGAAAAATGTTCGAAATATCGAAAACGTATTGAACGTATTTGGGCAGCCTTCGTCGATACGTTTCACGAATTCCGTCATCGGAGATCGTAACGAAAGGACGATCACGTTGAGGCAACAATGATCGATTGTTTCGACGCGAGGGTATGGATCGTGTAAGAGGAGGAGGGAGGGGCGCAAGATGTGGGGTAGTTTTGGGGTACACCCAATCTCCCGCGGGAGGCGCTGACACCCTCGACCTGACGTAATCTTCTGACAGAGTAAGCCGGTAATCTCCGGGATTACTTTGTACTCTTGGCTACGTCCTCCTGCCCATATTTACTCGCACCGGCGTAATTCGCGCTGCAGAGAATCCCGCCAGTAATAGCGATTCCCTGCTCAAATCCTGTTGGAACATCTGCAGCAGGATATCTGATCGCTGATGTCAGATTTTTAATTCGTCCCCTCCTTTTAACTTATCGCCAAACTTTCGTCCATTTTTTTTCTCCACTCCTCCCCGCTTTTTTAATATAATTAATAGACATGTTGCAATAATTTTTCTCCCTCACATTTAATAGAGTAAAGTAGCGAAAATAATATTTCTTTAAATTTTTCCTCCCATTCTTTCTAATGAATAGAAATGTTGCAATAATTTTTTAGATTCGAAATTGAACAAAAGTTGAGTGAAAATTTCAATCGTTGGAATTCTGTCCGTGTAATTTTTTCCTTCATATTTAATAGAGTAAAGTAGTGAAAATAGTATTTCTTAAATTTGTCCATTTCCCCCCCCCCTATCTTTCTAATGAATAAAAATGTTGCAATAATTTTTAGGTTGAAATTGATAAATGTTGAGTGAAAATTTTAATCGTTGGAATTCTGTCCGTGTAATTCTTTCTTCCATATTTAATAGTGAAAATAATATTTGTTAAATTTGTCCATCCATCTTTCTAGAAGAGAAATGTAGCAATAATTTTTTAGGTTTGAAATTGAACAAAAGTTGATCGAAAATTTCAATTTTTTCCCTCCACATTTATAATTAATGGAGTAAAGTAAATAGTGGAAATAGTATTTGGGGTAATTAAATTTGTGAACACACGACAAAACGATGGAATATTTTATTATAAATGTGTACTAATAATAAACGTAATAATAATAATAAACTAATTAATTTTGGTCAGATTCGAGCTAGGATTTATTTCGAAGAAGGAAGAAAATATTATACGTTCATAAATGCATTCAATTTATTCTTATTAGATAACTGGGATTTCGTGCTGAGATACGTAATTAATTAATGCAAACATCGGGCAATGGGTTCGCAATTAAACGAACTAAATGAGAAAGATGATAGGATTTAAATGTTGGACACACGAATCTGATGAAGAATTAATAAATAACAGAATCGTGATCTGTACAGCGTATAACGGGAAATAATTCCAAGGGATGAATTCGTATCGTATAAGGATAAAGGAGAAATAATTCCAAGGGATTGCGTGTTTTCATATCTCGTCTCGTTAATTAAAACGGAAACCGAGAACTCACGCGAATCGAGCTTTCCAAACGAAACAAAATCTTTCAACTTATGTCGAACAAATGTAGACACCTGATTCAACATGGAATACCTGAACCGTATAATTCGAACTACAAATCCAAAAAAAAAAAAAAAAAAAAAAAAGAAGGAAAACTTTGTACAAAACTACAAAGAAAAATGAACGGATCGAAGAGCGCGTATAGGTAGAAAAGAAGACTGGCAAAAAGAATCCTTCACCGTCGCTTGGCCAGCGTGGGGGGTACTCTGTATTATCCCGCTGCATTGTCCGGATTATAAGACGAGAAGGCCATGCTAGGCAGCGGTGTACACACAATGGGAGGAAGGTAGGGACAGGGACGGCTATGACGCAATTACGGCGCAGACTCATTGTTTCATTAGGGAAGACAAAGGGAATCTGAAATAATGGACAAATAGGCGCGTTTATGCAGTGCCGGTCCTCTTCTCCTACTCCAATTAGAACCCAGTACGGGGTAGGTGGGAGCGCGGGGGTGGTTGGCCATCGTCGGTGGATCGTCGGAGGCAAGCACACCGAGCCTCTGACGTTTGCTCGTCGTCGCCCAGTGTGCGTCGCGCACAGTGTGCGCGCCAATTATGCTGCACGCACACCGAGCTGCTCGAGGAAGGAGAGCCGCGCATGCGCGCCAGCCACGGAGATCTAGGGAGAACTAGGGATCGGCCGATTGTCGAGGTTCGAACGAGAAGAGAATTAAATAATTTGCGATTTGTTTATCATGATTTTCATTATTACTCGAATTATAGGATAAAAATTGGTAACTCGATGGAATCGTGACGATTTTAAATATTGAGTTCGAGAAATTGTTTAAGAGAGAGAAAGAGAGAGAGAGAGAGAGAGAGAGAGAGAGAGAGAGAGAGAGAGAGAGAGAGAGAGAGAGA